AAAAGACTCTGCCAGACTACCTTGTTACTCTGTTTCATGGTGAGGAAACTTTGGTACCGTGTGAGGAAATCATGTAAAACAGAAAAAATTTGAATTAATTGCGTTGTAAGGTGACTTTGGAATGAACTGACAGATAATTGGTGGAAAGAGACTATACTGATGAAAAGAAGACTGCAGACTGGAGGTTTTGAGGACTATAGGAATTATTTCCTTAGTGACACTAGTGAAAAAGTACAGCAATGATAAAATCTTACGACACAAAACTGGTGGACTGTATTGATAAGAGAGGAGTATCGGAATATCCATGTGCTCACATGATGAATCAAAACAGATTAATAGAATTAGATGAGATTTAGTGATGCAAATAGAAATTTATTCTGTCACTTCAGTGACATGTTAATAGTTGGTGTAATAGTCAGTAGCAGAATGATAGCATGTGACATGGCTGAGAAAAGAATAATAAAAAGAGACAGTGTTAAGGGATGGATTTCCTGTATGGATAGAAAATACTGCTGTCAAAGTGTATGGCATTAGTAAGACCTTATCTGGAGCCCAACTATCACCCACATGCAGATAAATGGGTTCAAACAGATGGATGGAACAGATGCAGAAAAGGACCACATGGATGTTAAGAGGAATAGAGAGGCTTAACAGAAAGACACAGAAGTGACAATTATACTGTTATGTAAGGAAGGAAAATAATTATATGAGCTCAAGATTAGAATAAAGCAAAACAAATGTGTGTAAAAGGGATAATGGGTAGACTTTACTGGAAATTGTAGGAAGAGCTCTAACTATCAGACTGACGATATTCTGGAGTGGTTTCAAACAAGAAACAAGTTTAAATTTCTTTTAGAAGGAAGTTTGATATATCCAGGAAAGAACATCAGTGTTGGGTTCTGCACAGTGGTGGGGAATTTGACTTGGGAATCCTGGATATCCCCTCCCACAATACTGCATTCTTGTGTATCAATGGATTCTGAGATGTATATGTTAATTTACAGTGGGTCCATTTTGAGAAGTGCTGCTGGGTTTTGTCATATTAATTTAATTTTTTCCTCTTAATAGCAGCAGAGTAGTTTGGTTGTATTTGCTCTGAACTATGTGTTTGGTTTGGACACTATGGCTGAATTCATGCAGTGCTACCTGACTTCTTGTGCCTGGATGGGCAACTTGTAGGAGTCTTAATGGAGCAATTTTTAGGTAAGTTTTTAGGCATCTAGGCCAAGAAAATGTTGCATTCTAAAATGTATGTATGATCAGCTTCCCTGGGATGTTACCTGAAGCTTTTTGTCTTTTTTTCCCTGCCTTTTGGATTGTATAGTTTTACATACAGTATTTAGTGCAGTACTGAAGAATTAACAGAAAAAGAACATTGCTTTTCAGCAAGGCTGCTGTCCTCTAGGTAGACAGTTTTAGTTTTTACTTGGAATTTTGGCTTTTGGGAAATCTCCGCAGGGCAGGGAGTTAAGCAATCATTGCTCAGTCATCCATTTTAATTTTATTTTTCAGTCCATAGCTGTAGCAGATTATTCAAAGAGAAATAATACGTTTTAAGGAGGTAACTTCCTGTTCAGTGGTCAATAGAAAAGTAAATGATAGAATCAATCCAATCATCAATTTATGCATTGTGTTACCACTGGCACTTTCAGTAGTTGCTGAAGCAAAGAAGTGAATTGATTATAAGAATTAAACTTCCTTCATATGCCTAGAGGTGAACAAGTCATGAAAATGGAAGGCTCATTCAGTATGAGACAGTATGAAAGACTAGGAAAAAAGACCCCAAAAAAAGTATTATTTTTAACTGATTTCTTGTACTTTTTTTCCTGTTAAGTGGGATTTGAACTATAGACATTTATCTTGAAGCTTACAGGGCAGAGGTGTGAGCACAGAGTGATGGTATGAGTGTGGAATGAAACATGCTTGGTTGTTATTAAACCCAGATTCCTGAAAGTTATTTTCTTCTTCCGTTATGAGTCTGATTCTTTAAAGAAAATAATTCCTATTCATAGCAGGTTCTTGTTCTTTTCTTAACCTTTTTGATTTGGAAGGAAGTTGTGAACTTCCCATTGAAATGGTAGGAATAATGTGTTAGGCCTTCAACAAAGAAAATTTTCTGACCTGATTAGCCCATGTCACCCTACAAGGCTTTCTGCCACTAAAAGGCACTTCCACTGGTGTCACTTGTTTCTAGTCCTCTTGTGCTGTATTATGCCTCTTGAAATAACACTGATTGGGGAGGCAAAGTCATGGAAGTGAGCAGCATTCACATGATGAGGCTGATAATGACATTTGTGTGACTCAATAACAAAAGCAAAACAGCTCATATTTTAGTATTAAACAAAAATAAGATGTCACTGCTGTCACTAAGAGCGGGCCAAATCCATTCTTTTGCTGGTTTTATGTCACCACATCTGGGGGGAATGTGTACACGTGTCTGCTCACACACATGTATGTAAAAAATATAAACATACACCTGTTTTGCTGCAGGTGCTGGCTGATGAGTAGAAATAACAGAGAATCAATATATAGGAATACTGGGAACCTACACACTGAACAGAACCAGAGTATGGCAGGGCTTGGTTTGGTATCAGTAATCTCACAAAGGGAGGGTTCACTGCAGCCTGAGACAGCATTTTTTGAGGTGTCTTTTTTAATTGCTCATTGTTTGGCTTTAATTATTTTTTGTAGGAATACTTTGGAGCCAGGCCGTTGCTTCTGTAAATCTTCAAATTTCCACTGAAGTTGCCAAAGGGGGAAAGCATTTTACACACCTTAAATAGATAGTCTTCTGTGTGAAAACATTATTTTATGGTGTCTTTGGTCCTACATTGTTTTTAAACAATGGTGGTTTTGAAATGGAAATTTCAATGGTTAAAACTGCAATGGTAAAAGTCTTGAGGAAGTCTGGAATCCAAACATTTTAAAGAAATATGGAGAATTTGATGAAAAATATGCAGATGCATAATTGGGATTTAAAGATAGATAGCAATCTGAGATACTTTTTTTGCTCACAGTTTCTGTCCCTAGTTGGGTCCTAGTTGAACTTTCTCCCCTCACATTTCCCCTAGGAATTACACATTTTGTTTAACAGACATTCAAAGTGGAGTTCATGTTTGTGAAATACTGGGAGTAGCCAAGAGGAAGTCTTCTACAAGTACTGTGTTTTGGCAGGGGCACCAGAACTGTCTGGCACGTGGATCTTTAGGGAGACACTTCAGGACTACTGATTTTTTTAAAGCATGAGGAGACAGAGATTTAGTCCATCATTGGGGTCTGAAAGTGAATGTATCATGCAGGATGACAGTGTTAGCAGTGGTGTGAGTGCCATGCATTCCTGAACTTTGTTCATTTTATGTGGACATGTATCTGTATCACTTATCTACAGTTACAAAACTAGGTAGAAGAGACATCAAGGTTTAACAATGAGCAAACAGCATTTCATTTCTACGGATGATATTTTCAGCTCAAATCAATATATTTCAGTGGGTTGTAGGATTGAAAAAGGGTGATCTGTTGCCATGGCCATATTATGTCTCCAGTAAACACATGCTGCACTGGATTTGCAGCATGCACATCTATTAGGGTTTTTTTTGTTTTGTTTTTTTTTTTAGTAGTACTTGATTTCCAATATTGCTGGTGATTATAAAACCCAACCCCCACTTTATATACATGCCCTACTAAGCCTTTTCTTGGTTTGCATAGTAAGAGGATCTGGAGCTCCCCATTGCAATCACTTCTGAGAACTCTGAACAGGGAATGGCAAAAAAAGTGGAATTTTGAGTTTTAATAGGAGATGCACTTGTCAACCCATAGCAGGTAAAAGTGAAAAATCCCTGTATCAAGTACTAGCAGTTTGTAGTACCATTTGTATTGTTTCCTGTTTGAAAGGTAAACTGAACAGACCTTCTCATAAAGAGCAGCGTACATCTGCATGGCACGTTGGATTTGCAATCTGTAGACTCAACTAGTTAATATGCCAGCTACTGTTTGGCTTTAGGTTCTGTTTGTCTTCCATTGCTACATTTGCCTGGAGTGTTTTGTTGAGAAATTTGGGACTTTTTTCCCTGAAGCAGGCTAAATTGTTGATGCCCAAGGTTTATTTGAGAAGCAAGGAGTGTATAGCTGTAACACAGTGTGGTAACCTAAAATGCCTGACTGACTCAGTTTCAAAGCTAAGACTTGTGCTTCACAGCTGCCTTGTGGTTGCAGGCTTCTGCCCTTCTCATAGAAACTATACCCAAAGGTGTGCAATTGCAGATGAGTGACACATCAATCAAAATGTGTGCTTAGTTGGTTATTTATTATGGCAGTTAATGTTACCAATTCCATCCCTTTCTCTCAACCTGCTGTTCTCTGGCTCCCTTGTTTCCTGCAAGCTCTGCAGAGCAGGGCTGATCAGCTCGAGGTGCCTTATGTTAGGCCCACAGGAGTCCTGTACTGTAGGAGCTTTCAGTGAGAGCCAGCTGGCAAAGCCCAAGTCTGAACCATGGAACCCCCAGCACCTGCTTCATGTGTAGCATGCCAGGAGGGTTACATAAATACCTGCCTCTATATTTGCCCAAATACACCACTTTAACATATGCTGAAGATGTATGCACAGGATGGGGCTGAGAATGTCTGCCCCAGCCCCTCCAGTCCCACTGGCTTTCCCTCCCATCATTACAGCTGAAAGAAAAACAGTTACTGAGAAGAAATTCTTTACTGAGGGTGGCAAGGCACTGGAATTGGTTGCCCAGAGAAGTTGTGGATGCTCCATCCCTGTGACTGTTCAAGACCATCTTGGATGGGGCTCTGAGATCCCTGGCCTTATGAAAGGCATCCTTGCCCATGGCAAGAGAGTTGAAAGTATATGATCTTTAAGGTCCCTTCCAACCTAGGCAACTCTGTGGCTCTATGATGTGATGATTCTGTGATTCTGTGTGCTGTGAAACAGCGTCAACCAAAATCACCTCACACCACACACCTGTGCCATGCTGTTAAAGCACTTTTCTGCCCTTTCAGGCAGAGGAGGAAAACCTGAACTCCTGGGTGAGTGCTAAATAGTGTGTGGACTTGGAGGGGTACCATGAGCCTTGCAAGGAGATGGAGTAGGTGCCTAAGGAAAAGCTGAGGATCTGGAATTCCACACAAGGTATCCTGCCTCGCCCCATCATTACTGTGAACTCAGCAGTTGATGAGGTGTATTGAGAGATTTGTTGGAGTGCCTGAATGGTTCTTGTAGAGATCTTAACAGAATGGACAATGAAGATTACATTCTTAGGTATTCTAATTTTTGCCTCCAGTGTGCACTGGGTGTCTTAATTTGGGGCTATGGATTAGGCAAAGACCCACTGCAGTGTTCAGCACTGCAGCAGCCAGGCCCATTATTGAATCTGGCCTCACTGCAATAAGTGTGAGTAATGGTAAGAGAGGCATGAGAGCAGAATGACTGTACAGGGGGGAGAGCTGCTCTTGAGTTGCTAGAGTGAAAAACATATTTGTAAAGAGATAAAATTAGTGCTGGGTACAAGAATGCCATTTAATGAAACAAATGACTACACTGTTCAGTGGCAGGAGAAAACATGACACATCACAGATAACCAGCAGTCCCCCTTTCCTGTCTCAGGGTTGCTGCAGAGCAGACGGCATTTCTGGCAGCACTGGGAAGGCTGGGATCAGAAGTGGATCCCAGTGCTGAGTCTTCCCGAGTGCTGAGACCCCTGAGCCACAGGTCTCACTGTGGGGACAGTGAGTGACTGTCTTGGGTCCTCACCTGTGGACTCGTAGTGAGATGTGTTTTCCCCAGGTACCGAGAGAGCGGGGCAGGAGGGAGACCTGGCAATGTGGTCTCACTGAGATGTGTATTGCTTGTGAGGTACTTGTGGCAGCAACATCACAAAAAACCTTCATAATACAAATCGATGAATGCTTCTTATTGGGTGCTCTTTTATCCCCTATTCATTGTATTTTATTGCTCCTGTGCTATATTTTTGTTTTCTTTATTTCCTTTGGATGTTGTCATCTATGTAGTTCTGTGTCCCTATCTTTTGTTCCTTATTGTTGCATTTTTTAGTCATGCATATCACTACTCCTTTAGCTTTCCTAAAGACTTCTCTCTCATCTCTGTTGTGATCTGCTGTACAGCTTAGCCATGAGCCATATGATGAAGCAATGTAGCCAAGCTGTGGGTTGGCTGAGGTTTGCATCACTGCCCTGACCCAGATTGCATCTGCAGTCATCTGGAACTGACTACACGCCTGAGCTGATGAAAGAGCTGTGGAAATATGGATCTCTGGGGCCTTGGCAAGGTATCCTCATATGTGTATGCATGTTGATGTGTGAGTACACTCAAAATGCCTGCCTGTTCCATCAGCTCAGCCGACTGGGTGCTCCTTTGGGATTTGCAGCAGCTTACGGCAAATGGGAACAGACCTGCAAAGCTCATGAGAATACTGGGATTAACCCAGGAAAGGGGGATATGCCTGTTGCTCAGGAATGTGTGATGCCCATAAGCAAGAGATGCAAACCCCCTCATTTGACCTTTGTATAATTCTTTCCCTTCCAGTGAGTCCCTTTCCCTGCCTGTGACTCATCTTCTTCTAAATGTAGACTGTAAGCCTCTCAGAGGACTGCCTTTCTCTCCAAGCAGGGTAGCATAAAAAATAGCAACACTTTTGAATAACCAGTATGATTTTTTTTAACACAAAAAAACTGGAGGACTGCCTTGCTTTGTCTGTGCTTCTGTCAAGGGGTTTATCAGTTCCCCTGAGAGAACAGTGGGGCAAGTTCTGTCCTGACCTGCAACAAGAAGGTTGTTCAGACAAGAGGTCTCAGGAGCAGCACAACTGCAGTGCAGCGGGCAGGAGATGTTATAATAAAAGATAGGTAGACTCTGACAGAGACCAAGACATCTTTTGTAGCACCCACATACTTCCTTCCCTATTTCTGACCCATTTGTAATTGGCAGCATTCCCTTGGTCACTGCAGCTTGCATGTCCAGTAGGAAGTTGCCTGCTCCCTTCAGCAGGTTGCCCAGTGCTCATCTCCATTCTTCCAGCCTCTGCATGCACTGTCCAGCTGCCCAGTCCACTTTTGTTCTAAACACTTGGTGAGTCTGGTGACCACTGTTACCTTCCATCTTTTGCCTCAGCTCTTATGTTGTCTTTGAATTGTAGTAGATTTCTTTTCTACCTTTTCTCTTTCCAGATGCTTGTGCCATATCCGCCTGTCCTCTGGAAGACAAAAGAGTGAGGATCAGCAGTGTGTCATTTATTCTGCAAAAACGGAACATATGAAAACTGTTGTGACAGCCAATGGAAGAAATTAAAAATTAAGGAAAGGCTTGTATGGAACAAGAGGAAAATTGTCCCAGCATTTTGCACTTTTTTGTAATTGAAGTCCTGTCTTTAGAGGGAGTTCTGTCAACTACACACTTGGTGAGGCCTATAAGGATTTTCCTTGTGTGATACCTGCAGAAGTTAGCCCTAGCACATCACACTATTCTAAAAGTCATGTCCAGTAAGCAGTAGGGTGGGCTGTCTTGGGAAAAATGCAGGAAGAAAACTTGGTGAGAGCTGGATCCTCTGCAGTGTCACCTTTCATAAGGGATTAACAAAAGAAAAAAAAAAAAAAAGAAAAAGTGAGCTAATGGGAGGATGGATGCTTCCTATTGTGGAATAGGACAAAACCCTGTGACATGTTCCCTCCTATTAGGTCTGATGCCACTTGTTATGATAAAGATTAATTTCTAAAAATCAACTGTAAAATTATAGGTCAGCCAATAAGACAGTGACTTGACTAATTTTTCAGTACAAAGTGTATGATAGTTTTATGCCTTTAATTGACATCAGTGCGGTGTGTTGTTGAATCCAATGAAATTTGAATCCCACTTGAATTTGTTTTCCACAAGCAGATTATGAACAGAAGTCTTTGATTTCTATCAATTATGTATTTTTGAGTGAAAAGCTATTTTGTGTATATTATTTAACAGCAGGAAATGTAGCACATGTTTATTTTTATTAAACTAATAAAAGGAATAAACCAACCATGGCAAATTTTCCTTTGATTTCTTTGGTCTTGTTTCCCTTAGCATAGACGAAGGGTCATAAAGTGCAGCCTCAGGTATCTGGGGATGCACAGTTCTTTGCATCAGGTAGTTGATGTCATAGCAGTGTGTCTTGTTTCTAAATGAGGGCCGTGAAGTGGCAGTAGTGCTTACAATGCAGCTTGTACCTGCATTCACACGCTCGGGTTGTGGCCCCAAGTTGCAACACAAAGGGGAGGGTACTGCTTACCTGTTGCAGTTAAGGTGGCACCTTACATGAGCTCTTTCCAAACTCTGAAGCAGGAAAAGATTAGGAAATGTGGAATGAGATGAGGAAAGAGAGATTGTAGAGCACTTGTGAATCCATTGAGTTTACAAGGAGTGGTGTGCAGGAGTGGAGCTGCAGGGGGAGGCCAGGCCTGAGGCATGCCAGGATTTGGCAGATGAGGCTCCCAGAGGTTTCCTCTGCCATCAACACGGCGTGTGGCAAGTGACACAAAGGAGTGCATGAGGGGAACATGGCTGCAGCCTGGCAGCTGGTACAGCTTGCAGATCTTCAGCAGTGGTGGCTGGATTTGGGTATGACCTATTTGCCAGTCCAGGAGAGAAAGGAAAGGCAACATTAAGACTACTCCCTATGCTACTTGTTCTTAAGAACTCAGATGGATGCGGATCTCCAAAACACCCAATCTAGAGAAGGTTTCTTGCTGCTTGAACTAAAGTCATTGTCAAATAAGTGGTATAAAAGGCTTGTTTCCTAGGAAAAAAAATGTTGGCACTGAAAGTTGCAAGAGGGTCCCTTTAAAAACAGCAGTCCCCTATTCCTCAGCTGTCTTCTCTGACATTTTAATTGATCCACACCTTACGTGAAATTGCCACTAATTTTCCATGTTCCTCAGCCACTCCTGCTGTTTTAGCCTGTTGAGGCAATACATCTCAACCACGAGAGTTGAGGCAATACATCTCAACCATTTCAGGGCTTCAGCCTCCCACAGCCTACATTGCCCCATCTCCTCTCCGCCCCAGGCTCCTCCTGGGAGGGAGGGAGGGAGACAAAAACCCGGCCGTAAGTGAGGTACAGGTGCATGGCCCTAGCAGGGGGCTGGAGGCTGGGACAGAAGGCAGCGGAGCTTTGTGCCCTTCACCATCATGGAAGGAGCCACTGGTGGGGTGTGTGTGTCATTTCAGAGGTGTCTCCTGCACAAATCCCACGTCTAGGCGTTCCTAGCCCCATCGTGTGCGGGGCTCTGGGGGACAGGTCGTGTCCAGCGGGCAGATGAAGGGCGACGGGGCAGGGCAAGTCCAGGCATGGCACAACAAGTGGGCAGCTCAGGGGAAATATTTCAGGAGGCCTCCGTTGCCCCTGGATCTCGTCGGGGAAGACAGATCGAGGCCGGCCAGACGGGACAGCGCTGCCAGCCCCGCGGTGCGCGGGGTGCAGCGGCAGCTGGGCTGTGGCGCTCAGCCCCTCTTTTCCCGGGATGGACTTTCCCCGGTGCGGGCTCCCTTTGCCCAGGGCTCCCTGCGGACCCGTGCCGTGCCGTGCCGTGCCGTGGCGATCGCGGCTCCGTGGGCGAGCGCAGTGCGGGGCTGGGGGAGGGGAACCCAGGCACATATTCGAGTGCGAGGCGGAGCCTGAGCATTTTATGAATGGGCTCATATGACGTCAGCGGGGGCGGGAGCGGAGGCCCCGTCTTCCACCAGTCCTGCGGGGTTCCTGGGCGGCGGGGCCAATCCGAGTGCGGCGGCGGGGTGACGGCCACGCTCGCTGGCCAATGGCGGCAAGCGAGCGGTGCCGACCACGTGGGGCGCAGGCCGCAAGTAGTACGGGGGCGTGTGGCCGCTCGCTGCCTGCCCCCCCCTTCCCGGCGCGGCGGGGCCGGGCGGCCCCAGGGCGGGCGGGCCCGGCCGCGTTGCCGGGTTACCCGCTGGCTGAGAGGCCCCTCCGCCAATCGCGGCGGGGCGGGGGCGGGCGCCGTGACGGCTGCGGGGCGGCGGTGGCCGGGAGGGCTCAGTCCGGCCGCGGCAGCCTCCGCAGCATGGTGGCTCCCGCCGCGCTCCCGGCCGCCGGCCTCTTCTACTGGGTGGGCGCGCTGGGCGCTCTCTACGCGGCGGCGCTGGCCTCGTACCGCCTGCTGGCCGGGCTCCGCGTCTGGGTGCTGGGGAGCGGCGCCGCCGCCGTGGGGCCGGCGCTGGGCGCCTGGGCAGGTGAGTGCGCGTCCCGGCCGCCCCCGCCGCGGCTCTTTCTCCGGTGTCCCCCCGGGCCGGGCAGGCACCTCGGCGGGGAGCGGCCTCGGCCTGGCGGGGAGGGGGACGCGGGCGGCGGGAACCGGCCCTCGGGGGCAGCGGGGCAGTGTGGCGGAGCGCCCGTGGGGCGACAGCCGGCTCCGAGGCGGGCCGGCCTGGGGCAGCGGCTGAGGGGCCGGCGGGTTCCACTGCTCTGCCGAGTTGGTCCCCGGCGAGCCGGGAGCCGCTCTCAAGCTCCCCACGCAACGTGCAGGGCCAGAGCGCGCCGCTCGGGTCGCTCCTGAGGGCAGCGCCGATGGCTGGGACGCGTGGGCCGGCGGGCGGGCGGGCACGGCGTGTTGGAGCGCGGTGTCTCCGGGCGCGCAGCGCGGCGCCGGGGCCGCTCCGCAGTTGCCGGTCGGAGGAGCGGCCGCTCCCCGCAGCGCGGCCGGGCCCTGCCCGCCACCCGCAGCCCCGGGCGAACGGCGGCAGCCGCGGGTGCCCCGGGAGAAGAGCTTTGCTGGAGGGCGAGGGAAGAGCGCTGTAAGAGCGGCGGGAGAAGAGCGGGGCGGCGGAAACTTGTGCCGAGCCTGCCTGCTCCTGCAGCTCGGTCCCGGGCCGCGCTCGGGAAGGGGCTGCAGCGCGAGTGGCCCTCCCTGTGGAGGGGGTGACAGTAGCGGTGGCCGGGAGGGGGTGGCGGCAGCATTTAGCCGGCACCCCCGAAGTACAGGAGCGCTGTGGAAGTGCAGGCTCTCAGCAGGGTAATTCTAGTGCTACGCTGCTCTAACTTTTCCCAGTACTTCGAGTCCTGGTCATAGGAAGGACACGCTGGGGAAAGATAGTTTCTTCCATGTGAGTCTGCTGCTGCCACTATGGTCTATAAGTTACGATGAGATGATAGAAAGGGCTTCTCTGCTGGAGTAACAATCAGGCCAAGGGAATTTTCAAATCCATTCTTGGAAGAGTTATTGGAAAGGGAAAGTCCTATGCCTAATTGGGAAGTGATAAGTTGGGCCACAAAAGTAATTGTAGCGAGCTTAAGATGAGATGACAGTTTAAAAGGCTGCAAAAGATACTTCCTTTCCTCAAGGGGAGCAGGAGGACATAGAGTGCTCAGCTGCTGCAGCTGCTTCCAGGTGTCAGACCTGTAGGCAGAGCAGCCCTGCAGCAAGCAGGCTGATGGCTGGGCTTATGACTCTGCTCCCCCTTGGCCTGCTGCAGCCAGCACAGAACTTGTGTGCCAGCACATGCCTGGGTAGTTGAGCGTCTGCTCGTGTGAGACACCAGTAAGGCAGCGCTGCTACTCACAGCGCACGTAATGCCAGAGCATGTCGTGAGTCCTGTGTGCACGGGCTGAAGTGCAGCAGTTGTGCCTTGGATAAGTAATAGCTTTACATACAAACAACTAAGGCCCAGGTTTTCCTTTCAGCGGGAGAAATGTTAGCCTGTTAAAGATCTGGCTGGCACAGGACATCCTTCTTTGACTTTCTACTATTGGTTTTGAATATATTACTGCATTATCAGTTGCCTGCTGACTTGTGGTGCATCACAGAAGTCTTGGTGGCTACTAGAGCTTGTTTTGCATTGTTTCAAACATGGAAGTTTGCAGTGCTTGAGCCAAATGCCAGCTTAGCAGCTGGAACCACAAACTGTAAACATCAGCTCTTCCCACAGTCACATCCTCAAACACCCAGAGGACTGCACTGCAAATGTCCTCTGTCACTTTTGTACAAGTGCAGGCAGCAGTGGGCCACTCTATGTGGCCAATGGCTGCTCACAGAAATTGTTCTTTCTCTGCCGAGATTGTGATATTCAAGGCAGGGGGGAAGAGGAGCACTGGCAGCACAGCTAAATTCTGTGTTTATTGCTCTGCTCTAAAGTGGGAGCATTGCTGCAGTGTCAAGGAGAATGGAGAAATGGGGTGATGGTGCCTGCTGTCACTGTGGGAAGACATGTGGCCATCATGATTAGCTGTTGTGTGTCCTCTGTGTGCAGCTGATGCAGGTGAGATGCTGCTTTATTGGTACAGCTGCTGTAGTCTCCAGCTGAAATGAGGAGAGGTTGTCTTAGTCTGAATGAGCACTGGGGTGGTTTGCCCTGAAGTATGGTGTGGCTGGGCTGTTTTCTCCCATGGAAAGGAAGATGGAGACACAGCTGCAGATATGTTGGGTCACCTTGATTAGCAAACTTACTAAGTCATACTGTAGGAAAAAGTGCATTTCCCTTTTTTTCTGATATTTTAAAAAACAGTGGTTTTGATGCTAATTGGCTGCTGTAGTTACTGTGTTAATGTATTCTTTCTAGCACAGCACTAGAGAGCAACTTCATAAGAACCCTAAACACAAGTCCTTTTGGAAGGACTTCTTACTGCCCTTTAACTCTTCTGCACATGTGAAATTGGGTTGCAAATTTTTTCCTTGTTTTCTTAGAGTTTTTTTTGGATGCATATATGCAATTTCTTCTGTCTATGCTTGGTCTAACTTACTGGTACTTAAAAAGAGGGGATGTGAAGAGGAGGAACCACTATGTGAACTGGTAAGGTACTCTGGGAAAACCAGGTTTATACTACTTGAAATAGCCCCTCTTTTAACAAAAAGCTAGTTTTTCTACAGTCACAATTATGTGTGAAGGTCTGTATGCAGCTTTTCTGGTCTTCTCTCCATATAACTTGCATCTGACTTGGTTTTTGGCTACTGTACAGTGAAGTGCAGTATGGAACTTGGGTGGATGTCTCAATGTGAGATTTCTGGGTGCTTCTTGGGAGGCTATACAGTGAA